AAATCATTCATTTCTTTAAATAACAATTTTTCAAGTTAAAATCACTTTTATTATTAATATTATTTTTTAATAAATTTTTTTTTACTTTTTTTTAATTTTAATTTTATTAAAAAATAATATTTTGTTTTAATAATAATAACAATAATAAAATAAAATATTATTTTTAATAATTAAAAATTATTATTATTTATTTTAAGCTCAAGGACATTAAATTTCTTAATAAACAATTACATTTTTTTTTTTTACATAAAAACAATACAATTTTAGGCCGTGTGAAAATTTTTATGTCAATAAAATAATTAATCATTTTATTGTTAAGATAATTTAATATATATTTCAAAAATACATATTTAATTCAATAAATTTATTGTCTATTGTTTAAAAAAAAATAGAGGACGGAAGTAAAATAATAATTGTTTTTTTTTTCTCGATAAAATAATCGAAAGAAATCTATAAAGGTCTATTGTAATTTAAACCTTGACTTTTTGGAATCTTACGATAGATTTTAATCACGATAATAATTATCATGATCATATACTTAAAGATATTGATTAAAAGTCACTAATGTTTATTTTTACTCATAATTTTAACTGCTGATGGCAATTAGTTGATACGATTATCGTTGTAATTAGTAATTACACAAGCAAATGGTTAAATCTTCACTTATTAAAAAATTATTTCCGTTTGAGGTAAGAGTGTTTAATTCTTAAAAAAAAATAAATAGGGTAGTAAATGGGTATTTATGTTATTTAAAAGTAAAATACTTGGACAGTTAGCGGCTGATTAGATAATTAACGAAAATAAAATGAAACAATAAATAACACGTTTGGTTAATAAAACTCGAGTATTAGAGTAGCTGAGTAAACAGAATAGTGGACTAGGAGGATAATTTGTTGGTTGGTTCGTTCGTTCTAAGAATGACCATAAATTATGGGTAAGACTCGTGAGAAAGTGAACGGCATATAAACGCGAAGATTGAAAGCGCGAGCGAGTTGAGGTACGTCCGAGTTGACACTAATTTCCAAGTTGAGCCTTGCTTTTAACTTACAATATCCTCAATGACACTGTCTCTTCATAATTGTTATCCAACCGATCATTAATACTAGATCATATTTAAATTACGAGACTATTTATTTCTCCCGCCCGATTTTAAATACACGCAGAAAAATTTTTTGTTAGAGCAACAAAAAATAAGTTGTGACAACAAATTGTTATGTTGATATAGGGATAACAAATAATATGTTGTGTTAACAAACACATAGGTTATAATAAGTAATTCATATGTTAACTCAACAAAATTATTTTGTTATTGTAACCGAATCTTTCAATTATTTAAAAAAAATAGTTTTGTTGAAGTAACAAATCGATTTGTTAAAGCAACGGAATAGTTTGTTCAAGTCACAAATTTTATTGATAAGAAAACTATTTTGTTATTGCAACAAAAAAATTTATTATAATAACAAAGCGATTTTGTTAAGATGACAAAATTAACTTCAGAGCAGTAAAAACTCATTTGTTATTGCAACTTAGTTGATCTTGTTAAATAAACTAGTTGATTTTTTATTGAAAGTAAATTCATTTGTTATCACAGCATATTTTTTTGTTATCCCTGTTTTTGTTGTCCTAACAAATAATTTTAATGTGTGTAGTGTCAGATATTCCCTATCAATATTGCCATTATAATACGTCGTATCCCACAAAATTTGACAAATTAACTTTTTTTGAAAAATGAAATCATAACAATATTATGCAAGTCATATTAAAAGTTTAAAGCTCAAAAATAGTTTAATAACTATTTTAAAATTATTAAAATTCATATTTCTTCACTTTCTGACTCGAATAACTTTAGAATGAGATAACTTATTGAATCTCTGTAAATTGCACCCGAAAGCTCTTTAATTAAATAAGCTTCAATTTGAGTAACTTATCATTTGTGTTTTCCCAAAATTATGTCCTCTTCCGCTATGCCATTTATGAAATTTGCTATTGCATTCGTTTTATAAAATTTTTTTCATTTAAAAATGAATCGTTTTTACCGTCTGCTGTAAAATTTTCTAAATGTGGGATACGACGTATTAGAATATGACAGTATCGATATATAACTGTTGTTTGATGTATTAATAATAATTCTAAAATAATGAATATCAATAAATTCACAGTACTAAAAAGTTTTATTTCAATAATGCCATTATTTATTTAAATTATTGCAATTATTCATTCGCAAAAAAGTTTTTAAGTAGCCGTACTTTATTGAATATTTACATAAAGTGTTTTAAAAAATTATTTACAATGACAAAAATTATTTCTATGGTAATATTTTTTTTTATGTAATACGTCAATATTTTTATTGATATTATGAATTATATTTTATATATATATATTTATAATTAAGTAGTATAATAAATAAAAATGTCTAATTTTTTAAAATTATAACTTATAAAAATATTTTTGCAATTATACTATTCAATGCTTTCTCCCTATTTTTTATAACAATTATTATTATAACATAATAATATTTTATGAGCATGAATAATTAATGAGACATTAAATAATTAAACAGTTAAATAAAATAATTTAGAAATCAAAATTAAATTTAAATAAATAAATAGAATCTAAAAAATATAAAAAATGAAAGCAATAAAATTACTGCATACTAAGTGACAGCAAACGGAGTTATAGTTAATTGCACCGGTCTACCTTCTCAAGGTTAACGGTATAGATGAAAATAACGCATGGCGATTCTTTACGAGGTGTTCAATAAACACTACACTACATACTTATACTTTATACTATTATTTTAGCGAAAAAACAAGTTCGTTAAACTTATTTTATTCAATTAAATTGATTTATTGCGGTTCAATGATCTACAAGTATTAGAGAGTCTGCAAAAACTCTATAATTAGATGCGATAAACATCTCAAGACATCAAAATGTCTTCGCCATTTATCTTTGTGCCGTTAAATTTTATAATTTGCAAATATATAATATAAATAAAATAACATTATTACTTTGCAGTGAAATTGTAAGGCGTAATAAGCCATTATAAATATAATATAATTTTATTTTACTGAAGAAATACTTAAAGCGCAATTACTTATAGTTTTAGCAAGTACCTAAATGCAATTTACAGTAGCCAATAATTTTTTAATCGGCTACTGATTGAATTTCATAATAAAGACAATAATAGTTTGGTTTCTGATGAAATTTAATTTATAGCTCCGGATCTTTAGATTAACGAATATCTAATTTATTTATCCCGCCGTAAGATAGCCACTTTTTCTGATTGCGGCATCAATAGACCCGGTAATTGTAATTTAATCCTAGCCGGTCTCTGTAATCACAATAACAATCGGCTTTTTTTCTGTTTAATGGTCACGAAAAAAATATTAAATCATCTCTGGAGTTCCAGTTGAGAAAATTCCTCTCAAAGCGGACAATTTGACTGAGAAAGTCAATTATAAAATAATTGTTCGCTGAAAAAATTCATTAAAAGGTTATAAAGCATCTTCAGTATCAGGGTTAAGTTTATATGTGTTGTAAATATGTCCAGCAATTGCTAACATAAATGCTAGGATACTTTAAATTCTTGTCTTTACTCTTCCAAGACAAATTACCATTCCGATCACGAATTGACGGATCAGGAGCTTCACCGTCTAGCCGCGACACTGTTGATGTTTCCCGCGAGCATCAATTACTTCCGAGAGTAATTAAAGTGTAAGAAACTTAAATTCTTCGGATTCTTCCCAAGTTTTTTCTTGAATCTATTATAAATAATTGGTTGTATTTTATTTTTTTTTTTTTTAAATAAAATAAAATGTTAAGCCTGACAATTAAATGATATTTTTTTTTTAGAATTTTAATTATTTTTTATGATTAATTTAAGAAAATTTGTAAATTCAATCTACGTAGCCTAATAATTAATAAAAAAAAAATTAAAAAACAGTTTTTCGGGATATTTAATCAAATAATTAGGTTTGAAAATTGTAATTTTTACATGAAGGTAAATAGAGAAGTTAAGTTAAGAATTTAATGCAATTAAATTAATGATTTAAAAAGAATTTTATTTTTATTGAATTTGATTGAAAAAATAATAAGCTAAAGATTAAAACAATAAAAAAGTAGCTTTCCGAAGGTATTACGGAGATATTTTATATTTTTTATGAAAAATCACTCGGAACTTGCGTTTTTTAAAGTCTTGTATTTGACTTGGCAACACCGCTTGCGCAGTTACTCGGCGCATAAGTAACCGCGATTTTTTAAATGCTAGAAAATCTTAGTCATTTTAGTTAGACAGTAAACATAAATAAATTTGAAGGTTAGGGAGACTCTTGCGGTGTTGTCAAGTGTATACCGGTAATTCAGAGTGCTATATTTTTTATTAGTAATGTTATTAATTAATTTAAAGATAACAAAAGTATTTCTACGTATTATTTTTTTATAGATATTCTTTACATTAGGAGTATACTTGGATCTCCTTAAAGAACGAAAAATAAGATCTAAAAATTGTATTTTTAAATGGGCCAGCCGTACTAACCAAGCGCAAAACTTCATTCAATATTATGTAAATAAAAACATATTTAAAACTCAAACCGTTAAAAAGTGATAGTCAAAACATAATAAAGAAACTAAAACCTGATGATTCACGTTTCAAAAGATATGTATTTAAATTGTAAGTAACTGTCAGAGAAAGTTTGCTGCACTTTGCATCTAAAAATTTTTAAACACGGAAGCCTTAATACAATATTAAAAAATATAGAAGATAATACGAGACTTAAAAAAAATTATATCAATATTTTTTATGAATATAAAAGTTTAATTAGCGATAAAAATACATTCCGGAACCTTGATCTTCTTCACGGTCAATGTAAAAATAATCGGATTAATTAAATTAAATTAAATTAATAAAAAACCAAATCAATTCCAATAAATCAATCAGTAAAATTTTATTTCCCAATTTAAATTACAAAAAAATAAGTCATATATCAATATTAAAATTAAGATTATTTCTTTCCACTTTTACTTTTCTTGGATCCAAATCCTGAGAACCCCATAATGGCGGCCATATCATCGCACCCCGCAGTTCTAGCTTCTTCCTCTTCTTGGTTAGCTTCTTCAATTTTCCGCTTCTTTTCCTTCCTCCTGTCCTTGCGGTACTCCTTAAGCTTCTCCTCTTCCTCCTCCAGCTCCTTGACACGCTGCTCAAGATTATAATCCTTCTTCTTTTCTTCCAGCTTCTTCTTATTAGCCGCAAATCGAGCTTTGACCTGATCCAAAGTCGACCTTTCGATCTTCATGGACATTCCCAAATTTTTCTGATGTTTGTTCCCATTAATATGGTCCAAAAAATTGATGGAATCCTTGACGAGGCAATCGCAGACATTGCAATAATACCCACCCGATTGGGAAGAAGCGGTGTTTTTATTTATTACAACCGTTTTTCCAAGCTTAGAGTCTAAGTCTACTTTGTAGTCTCTTGGCTTAAGCAGTTCGCGTTGGACTGCGGGTTTTTTAAGAAGTCCAAGCTCTTCGTCTGCGATTTCTTGTCTGGCACGCTCCAGAGCCAGTTGTTCGTAGTCTTCGTGGTTCCATTTTCTTCTATGGTCATTTGGTCGTTCAGACATTTTTGATTTTTATTTGTAATTAGTATAAATTTATATTAACACACTTTTGGACCCAAATCACAGATTTCTAACCTATTTTTTAGCTAATATACAATTTCACTTAATAGGGCACGTAAAAAACAAATTTACAAAATAACACACACTGAAAATTAGTTATTTATTAATGAGAATTAATTAATTTTTTTAAATTAATAATAAATACCACTAATTATTTTACAGAATAAAAAATGTATAAAATAACTAATAACGTAACTAACTACAATGTATAACAATAAGCCTATAACATATGACTCTGCTATATATCTGGAAGGATTGAATGATGACACCTAGCGGCATTTTAAGCAATTCTATTTCTCTTAGGTCAAGTTCAGTAGGTAGAGTCGTTTATTACAAAAGTCGATATGTTTCGCGCTATAAATTTAAAAGTGTCTCGATTTTTTATCTATAAAAATTATAAAAATTACGAAAATTTTTCCAAGGACTAGAATTAAAAAAAATCTGTTTTTTAAATTTATTACGTTAATTATTTTAGCTGTTTAAATTAATTTATTAAATTAAAAATATTAATTAGAATATAAATTAAAAAATGTTCCGATTTTTTAAGTATAAAAATTACAAAAATTTTTTTTAGAATTAAAATATAAAAAAAATTTGTTTTTTTATTAGGTCAATTATTTCAACCGTTTACATTAATTTATTTAATTAAAAATGAAATTAAAAATATTAATTAGAATATAAATAAATCATTCTCTATTTGATATTCAAAAGATATCTCAATAGAGAATTGATAGTTAATAACAATTATAATAGATTAATTAATCGCAATAAGTACATATACCAGATAGATATATGTATTTAAGATTATCCATATCATAAATCGTGAGAATGCATCTCAAGATCCTTGATCTTGTTTCACGGTCACGGGCCATAAATTATCAGATAAAGAATAATAAATGGATACTTTATAGTATAATAATAAATATAAAAATAATAACAATTGGTAAGAAAGTTTATGAACATTTCTTCCATTAAAATTGATATCTTCATACATGCACTGTCATGACGTTTTTAAGACTCGTTGAAAGAAGCTTAAGATAACCTAAGGACTTAGCGGGTAAATCTCTCCATTAATGTAATATGTGCCCTTTCAATTTCACACATTTATATTTCTTACCGTGTAATATATTTACGCCAAATTTATTTCAAGAGAGATATAGCAGGTATTTTATGTATAATGTGTTATGTGTGGGATTGCATTCCTGGTGGCCGAGTATTACACACAGTAAATAAAATTTTCCGTCAAAAAACTTAGCGTTAACAATTTTTGTGTTAAATATTTAACGCTTATTTTGTAATAATAACATAAAAAAGTGTTAAATATTTAACATAAAAATTTTTTGACGCAAAATTTTTTACTGTGCACATATTTCGTAGTTTCTTACTTATATATACTCCTTTTACAAATAAAACAGTCTCTTCTTACGTTCCAGTTGAGCGAATATCCCCTGGACTGTTTAGTTCAGGATCGGTAGTATGTGTTCATTCTCATTATACATTCATAAGCAAAAATATATGTATCTACACAAAAGTCTTTAAATTACTATACAGTCAAGAGCTTTTGAATCGTTTTAGTTTGAATCATTTCTAGTGGTTAGTAGTTACTTTATTTTGGAGGCCATGTCACTTTTTAAATTTTATTTTGTCAATAATTACGTAAATTTTTATTGTATAGCCAGACTTATGAAATAGAATATTTAATATTTTCATTCTTCTCGTAAAATATCATCAATTGTATCACTTAAAAATACTTTAAGTAATTTTTTTCGATATATTATACTATACAAATATATATTTCATCAATTTTAGAGAAGAAAATATTATTATTAAAAATTTTGAGAACTTTTCTGCCAATTTTAAACTTATTTTCTTTCCAATAACGATAAAGACAATTAAAAAATTATTTTTAAATCTTACCTTGTTCTCATACAATTATATTTATATAAAAAACAATTTTTGAAGCTTTCTCAGTAAGTGAAAATTTTGAAAAAAATATAAAATACTGTCGAGAAAAAAATAAAACATTTTAATTTGAAATTTTGTTCGTCTTTCTAAACAACAGTACTGTGATAATAATAACAATCTCTAGTATTCGAAAGTGAACGTAATAACTATCACTATCAACAAATAACAATCCAGATAGCTAGAAAATAAAAAAAATGTATCACGACCTTCATACGGGATCTAAAACCATTAAGATGATTGACTTTGTTATTTTTTGAAAGGATAAATTACTTTTTGCAAAATTTATGATTAGTTTTTTTTACATACTTAAAATTTTTAGGTATAAATTATTTAATGGATTTTTATCAAAGTTTATAGTGAAGAAAAAAAAATTTTAAACTTAAAATTAGTTGATAAAAATAATTAAATGTATTTGGCCGATGATCTTTACGTAAATAGCAGTATAAATAAAAATAAAAAAAAGCAAGTTTTATCAATGGTAATCTCTTGTACCGAGTACCTTTTCAACCGGTAAATTATGTAATGGACTTTTACTCTCATTTTCAATAAGACTTGAGTGTATAAACTGTAATGAAAAATATATTCTTGTTATTATTATTTATATTATTAAAATGCGTATTAATATCAGTATGGGAAAGTCAATGTCAATAAAAAAAAAGACAAAAATAAATGGAGGCTAAGTTAAAGTTAAACTTAAATATATTAACAAAAAGTAATGGGCATGCATAAAAACTTCGACATTGAGATAATTTGTCATGAGTGTACTGTACCTATATCGAGAACGGAAAGTTAAATGCTGATCACGTTTGCGTTTGCGGCGAGTAATCAACAGCGTAAGGGAATAAGGGCAAAGAATTTAAACTGGTGTAATTTAACCAGCTGTAATTTAAAAAAATTAATTTAAACAAAATGTTTGTCGACAAAAAATCGATTGCGCTTTATAAAAAAGTGATCTATGCGTTTACATTTGCTAATGCTGCGTAATGTTTTATTGTAATGATAATAATAAATGATACAAGAGTTGTCGATTGTGGCCTACGACCCGGCAAGATCGATACGATCGTTACTGTAAATTGATGGAGGTTACTCTTGGGCTTTGCGCGGCAAATCAAGAGATATTATCAAAGAAGTTAAGCCCTGAGGACGTACACGCTTTGTATAACGAGACTCTGTCGAAAAAAGGTGAGTTTGGACTTGGACTTGGGTTGGGTTTGGGGTGAAAGGTATATAAGCGAGTAAAGGTATATTATATCGCCTGGCACATCGGGATTATATTCTCGATTCTCGATTCTCGCTGAGTAACGTGCGTGTGTCCTGACCGATTTCGGGAGCGACGAATGTCTACTTTCATTTCAAATGCCATTTACCATCGATATATTTAACATCAATATTTCATTATTGACAATCGTAATTATTATTATAGCCATCAATTCAATTAAATGAATTAATGTACTGATAAAAAAGGGATTTTTATCAGTACACTTAATGTTCAAGTAACGGAGTTGATGGTTGATCCACATCAAAGGGGAAATTTCGATGGTAACATCGTATTCAGGTCTACATTTTTGTTGTTATGATTTATTGCATTTAGTAAAAACTGTCACTGCCGTGACTATAAATAGAAAAAAATTTTGTATTATTGAATAATGACTTTTGTTAAATTGCACTGTACTTTTTTAAATATTGACGTTTTTATAGATATAAGGTCATCCCGATGTTGCACTCATCGAGAGCTTTTATTTGAGTACCCACATGCATTTTTTATATATTTTTCATATATACATATATATAATATATAAAATATATGAAAAATTGATGTGGGTACTCAAATGAAGGGTCCCGATGAGTGTAACATCGGGATGAGCTTATATCTTTAAAAATGTCAATATTTCACAAGATACAAGGTCATTTTAAAAACGATTTTATCATATGACTATTCTGGCCATAAAATTTTACTTATTTTTTAAATAATATAGATAATTAATTTACTAAAGTTGAAAAATTGTTAAAAAAATCGCCTTGATAATTTATCTTGAATATAAAATTAAAATAACACGTTTTTTGTCCCAATAAAAAAAAAATAATTGCAGAGTGAAAAACACACCCATAAACCCAGAAGGTACTTGCATTGAAAATAAAGCACTTACGTACCGCGCAACCTTGATTTATTTTTTTACGATTCCTTTCTATCCGTCAGATTTAAGCATAGCAATGCTCATACATATATATTATTTATAGAATCAATATTGATTTCATTATTCCTGTAAATGCCGTGTTCTCTAGTAATAAATTTATATAACCTAGTGCTAGTTCAAGTAATAGTTGTTACAACCAAACAATTACAAGTACAAATACTGTTAAGTTTATTGTCCATTGTTGAAAGCACCTGTTCCAGTGGAACGGATCATCACTGGTTGACTGGTCATAAGACAGTTCATCTTTCTATTTTTAAAATTCTTCACTTTAACGTTTCATCTCTCTTTCTGTGATATTAAGAAGTCTTTCATATCAGTACATATTATTATCCACGTAGCTCTCAGTTAAGTAAAGCCTCTTCTGGGTCAAGGAAGTCGCGGGATACTCAACTCCTGGCTGATGGGGACTTTAAATTGTTTCGCGTGGGTGTCAGGCCATCGTAAGCTGAATCGAGAGGGACAAGATAAAAACAAAACACATTTCTTGTGCAAGGTGTATTATATTCAGGAAGTGTTGACTCTCGCCTCTTTTTATCTTCGTCATATCTTTTAAAGTAAAACTCATTTTTCATTTTTAAAAGAGATTTCAGGATATTTTTATTACATAATCAAATAATTAATTAATTTTTTTCTTTATCATTTTAATTAATTAATTAATTAAATTATCAAACTCATAATTTAATTAATTAAGCATTTAATGGGTAAATTTTCTTTATAATAACTCATCTACTTTATATTTAATTTTTTGGAGCAAGAGAGAAATTTTCTCAAGACAAGAAAATT